TTTATTACCAAATAAATTAATCAAATATTTACCAACATCCAAAATAAAAACGATGATGTTCAAAGGCAAGATTATAAGTACATAGGCTAATATAGCAACAATCGTTTGGATCAACGGGTGAAAAATTGGCGGAATTGTAAAACCCATTATTATTATAATGATAGTAATGGGATAAAGGTAAAGAAAAAAAAGGAGGTGGTATATATATGAAATTTTTTTTTACTAATTTATATATATAGTAAGACTTAATTCTGAAAATCGTGCGACAATATAGAAAGTACTTTAAACAAGTTTTAGAAAGGATTGGTTGATGTAAGCCACATCAAAAAAGTAATGGTTTTGTTTGCAAAGGTCCTTTTCACTCATGAATTAATCGGAAAAGTAATTGTTTGCTAAGTAATTATAATGTATTCTTGTCTTCACGGCAAAAAAAAAAGATACACGTTGATTTTTTTTTATTCTTGTAAATAATTATTAAAGTCATGTTGGTTTCAACACAGAGAGAAAAATAAAGCACAAGTTAAAGGGTTGCAAGAGAAAAAAACGAAAGTAGGAAGGTTTTACGACCTTGGAAAGAAAATAAATACATTCATTGATCTCAAAGTCAATTTTTAACATCTCTCGAAAATTGAAAATTCCCTTCCCCAAAAATCAAGTTTAACAAAAGGTGATTTTCAACATCTTCCTCAACATCAACATCAACACGCCATATCGACTTCTCTCTTCTCTTCCTGGCATGGTTACATCATGATCAATAGAGGAAGCTGTTTGTAAAATATATTTAATGAATGTTTTATCAATTATTCAATAATTATATAGGCGGGTAAGTGTTAGATAAGATCTACGAAAAATGTATAGGCATGATCGAAACATTTTTAGTAATAAACAAATAATCAATGCAATTGTCAATTAGTTAAATGCACAGCACTTTGTTTTTAGTAATAAACAAATGATCAATTCAATTGTCAATTAATTAATTAAACGCATAATGCTTTTCTTAAAAAGTAAACAAATCAATAGTATAGTGAAAAAAAAAAAAAAGTTTTTTTAGCATTTTTAGTTAATAATCAATTCAATTATCGTATTATCTGCAACACAATTTTAAAACATGTTTTAGTCGATAAAAACTGTAGGTGGTGCTTATATTCGAGACATTTTGTTTGTGTTACATTATGTTTCCTTATCATTTGTGTTAAGTTCTAATTCATTTTTTCCCACAGCAATGCCAAAAGTCGAACGTCCTTCATATTCTATTGCCGAAAAACTCCAAGTATTTTATTATGCAAAACAATATGGGTTAAGACCAGCTGGATGTCATTTTACCATCAATCCTTCAATGATTTCTCTTTGCAAAAAAAGAGAAAGAACTCGATTTAGTAAAAGAAAAAAAAGAAGACGAATTGATAATAATTTAGGAAGAAAAGCATGTCAAAAAATGTTTCGAAATATAGATGTTGCTTATATTTATTATTCTATTTTTGTTGCAAATTCATATTGTTGCTTATATTCGAGCGTTGCATTCCAGACAATACAATAATTAATAACGCTTATAAATAAAATCAACGGTATGATCTTCATCACACTAACTAAATGTTAAAGATGCTTTGCCACCACTAAAAAAGCAACATATATGATAACAAAAAACAATAATTGACTCAATTGTTGAAATTAAATAGCTCTTCTTAGAATGTAAAATAAACAAAATTTATTCATACCAAACAGTTCTCTTCGGGTCGGAAAAAGATATTATTATTATTATTGCATGATAAACGTTTATCACGTGGAAAAAAGGTATTTACATTGAAACTGACACATCCAATGAATGCAGTTGTCGGTAACAACTAGATTCAGATACCATGTGTTGAGATCTTAAATTTGAAGTAGTTAATTCTTGTTCATTAGACATCGTTTTTGAGGATTATAATAATTTGGAGTTTTGTCATGGTTTTTTTTCAATATCTTTCTCATTTATTTAATCAATTAATATTAAAAATGATTTAAAGTAATAAATATGCGATCTATAACATTGGTAACCTCCATTGTACAAAAAAAAATTTTTTTTACCTTTTTTGGCGGAAAAATATTTACGATGATGCAACGAGTTTAGTAATTTTTCGAGCCGATTCTCCAAAAATCCGAGAAAAAGTCAAATTCGTTCTAACAGGAAGACTTGAAATAAGCCAATTTATTAAATATTGATGGAAAGGCCAGCCAATACAAAAAGTGTCAGAATTCAACTGATTTTTAACGATTTTGGCCAAACCGTTAGAATCAGCAGGTCCATAATATTTACTAGGAGGTAGTTTAAGACTACGCGCCATGTTCGTTTCTATTAGTCCAGGTACTATCACAGACACTTTTACATTATCAAAAGATGCTATGTAGCGAAGATCTCGTGCAAATGATATTAATGCTGATTTTGTTGCATTGTAATGACAGAGACCTGGTGCGCTGAAAAAACCAGCTATAGATGATGTTACTGTAATAGAATTTTTTATTTTATTTTTTATGATTAGTAAATTTTTTT